TTGCAACTGGCAATTAATGAATTTTCGATAGTATTTCAAACTTTGAACTGTCAATTTTGAATTATTTAGATTGTGGTGGTGCTGCTATTGTCTGTTATCCCTTGGCCTGGACCCTCGGTATTTAAGATATCATGCCCCCGGGATCGTGCTTCAATGGTCAGACGGATCGTACAAAAGGTAATTAGATCAATGAAGTTAATTGTTTTTAATCGTTATAATTTTTTGTCGTGTTTTATTTGCGGTTCGCCGGACTTTTTAGAGATGGATACCGATACTGAAGAAGTACCAGGTGGAATTACCTCTGGAGTGTCCCTTTCACGAGAGTCGGGATATATTTTATCCCCAACAGGCTGCCAAGTATCAGCACAGAACGTCTCAATGGACTTGTGGATTATGTGGAAAATCTTTTTACTCCGAGAAACATTTGGAGGCGCATTTCGATAGCAGGCATAAGAGTAATGTTAATACGGTGAGTTTTACTGCATATTTTTCCATAAATTTCTCTTAACTCTCAAGTATGTTCTGCATTATTCTTCGTATCATTTTAAATTATCGGGTTTTCAGTTTTCTAACAAATTGTTGACTTCCAAAATGTCATGATCATGATCATGATCTTGCAGTAATTTGCCGGCATTTTTTTTACACTTTTCAAACATTTAAACTTTGGAAAAACCACTATAAAATTATTAATTATAAAATTATTTCAACTAAAAATGGGATACTGATAATAATAACTGTAAAATAATATTTACCTGTGGGATATCCGCTTTTCGTCTGATTCAGGCAGAAGATGCTGTGTGTTTAGCAAATTACTGTGACATAATGCGATGCGACGTACTAGGACCATCAGAACTGGAGAATTCCTTAGTCGATCCTACTGGTGCCCTAAACACAGACATTCAAGTATGGCGTGAAAATACTGAGAGAAGTTCGACAGTGGTACCCTGTGAGTGTCGTGACTTGACTCGAATGTATGGTAAAGTCAGTGACAAAGCGGAAGTGATACCAGCGGATTCACGTCACCAGAGCCATCAGAAACACTGTCGACGAGAGGATAGTGTCTCTTCCTCGGCGTCGAGGACTGAAGAATATCACAGAGATTTAGCTGGACCAGACAACAAGAGCAGTGCCTGTGAAAATAGCGAGGATGAAGACGATGATCCAAGCAATCTTGTGGAAGCCGCATTGCCAGCTGGAGACAGGAAGGAGAGGAAGAGGCAGTCGGAGATTAGAAGATTGAAGTCCCATTGCAAACCTGAAGAGCTTGCTAAACTTAAAATTCAATGCGAAGTGAGTT